TTGAAAAGCACTGCCTTCTAGAATTTTAATAGTCAGTTTTCAGCAGTACATGGTACATGGCCAGACTTTCCTTCCAAGATAGCTCCTGGTGGACTCAAATCCCCCAACCTTTCAATTAGCAACCCTGTATGTAAGCATTTGCTCCATCCAAGGGCTCCAATGTACTGCACAGCAGAGGGTACAAAGTCCCTAATACGTTCACACGAACACCTCATACTGTGCTCCAGAAGAGCTGTCCTAGTGATGCAAAGTGAGACACACGATCATGTCCCATGCATACCTGTCCTCCTCTCGCCAGCATGCTAACCCAGATAGTACTGGTGGGCCGGGAAGAATTCTCTAGGCACGACCTACACTCGCCAGTGTAGGCATATTTAGAATCCTTTTTGGCAAACACATAAACTGTGTTTGTTGCCATTTTCTCTTGAGCAATCAGGACCTATGTGGACAATAAGACAGAGTCAGAAAAGTCAAAAGACCTAGAGGTAGGAAGTTTTCTGAACCTTAATTTAACCTAACCACACATAGTATGTAGCATTTCAAACATCTTTCCTCTAAAATCACCCAAAACATCACTGAAGCATTCTTAAACCTTACAAATTCCATTTTGCATCAACGCTTCCCAGAGATAAGGAAGTTCAAACAACTGACCATATTTGTTGTATTCTACATACATGTAAATAAAGCTTATTTGTTTAAAAAGTTTATCAACTGTCAATCCCTATATTCAGCTGCCACTCCAAGGTATTCTAAATAAGGCTGACCTGTTAATAATATTTAATTATTCTATCATTTTCAATGTAATGGTACTAAATATAGACTACATATGACATACCTTTTCAGATCCATTGATAATGAAATAGCCGCCAGGATCCAAAGGGCATTCATTTAACTCACACAGATCACGGTCCGTTAAGCCATTCAACAGGCAGTAAGTTGAGCGCAACATAATTGGAATTTTTCCTATAAAGGTTTTCTGATGCTGAGTCTGAAGTTGTTCTTCACCTTCTTTAATGACTGTCTTTGTTATGTCAACGTAAAGTGGAGCAGAATAACTTTGAATAGAAAAACACATCACAGTTATGAAATGATGGTGTATTTGCTAAGATACAAACACTCAACTGGTTTAAAAAAAAGACATCTACTCAAATGATACTGCACTGTCATTTAAGGAAATCTTCTTCTTTCTTACGTGAGATTTCTTAATCTGGCTTCATTCGGCATCATCGGTGAAGGAGCACCGTCTCTTTCCCAATGGGTAGGCTTCGAGAGGTAAATCTGCTCAAACTTTAGCAAGTATCTTGGCTGAATTGAAAACGAGAAAAAAAGAGTGAAAAGAATAAGTAACTTTCCCCATAAAAGTTACAATAATTCTGTTTTTGTCAGCTTTAACCTTTTTTTTAAATCGTTTTATTAGGGGCTCATACAACTCTTATCACAATCCATACACACATCAATTGTGTAAAGCACATT